GGATGCCTCAATGCGTACCGTCCCATCCACAAAACACATTAACCATTCCAACAAGAGAGTAATTGAAAACACGACCATACGAGCTGAGCACTAACTTTATTTCTAGTTTAACAATCCCGCGCCAACTGCTGCTCCACTGCTCTCTTAAGTAGAGCTCCTTGATTAGACAGATCGGAAACAGGTGAGTGATTATCACAGGTGTGGCTGGCTCAAAGGCAGGGACTCTCCAGGCCTGGTGGGGCAGCAAAACTGACACAACAACACACACGGGGAAATGAGGAACCCGGAGCAGATCTGTTTTCCATTCACCCCTCTCCCTTATGTCGACCAGGTGATAGGCATTACGGAGGTCGAGCTTCGTCAAAATGGTGGTGCCATGGAGGGGTTCGAAAGCGGAGTTGATTAATTGAAGTGGGTACTTGTTTTTAACTGTTATTTAATTTAGTCCCCTGTAGTCCAGTGTTTTGTCTTTCTTAGCCACATAAAAAAAAATCTAGCACCCACGGGGGAGAGGGACGGCCGGATGATTCCAGCGGCCAGTGACTCTGATATGTTTTTCCATAGCCTCTGTTACAGGCTTAGAGATGTTGAACAGCAGACAAGAACAAAGGGGCACCAGGGAGGAAATCAATAGCACAGTCATAAGGAATATGGGGTGGAAGTGATAGTGCTATGTGCTTACTAAATACTTCTTGCAGGTCGTGATATTCTTGAGGAACAGTCGTGAGATTAGGAAGAACTGGTTCGGTGATCTTAGTTTCAATGGGTTCAGATGGAAGAGCTGAGTTGAAGTAGTTAGCTAGGCAAAATAGACTCCAACTGGCAACCAGAGAATCATTATGGGGGGTATGTTTCTTTAGCCAGGGGAAACCTAGAATTAGGGGTGAGTCTAGAGATGTGAGGGAGATGATTTCATGGTGGTTACCTGACGTGACGAGAGTTATGGGGCCAGTTTGGTAAGAAATAAGTGAAGACACTTGGTTATTTCATGTGGTGACAGGGATGGGAGGATTGAGTGGTTCTAAAATGGTCCGGAAAACGTCAGAGAATGGGCGAACATGAGTGAACATTTTAATATAAAGGTCCCCCACTGACCCTGCGCACCGGAATACGGTTCAGGATCCAGGAACGCAGCGTCATGAAACACCGACCCTACCGGAACAGACAGAACCTGGAACGACGGCAGGGAAACTGTCGCAGTTGTCGGGGTCACATATTTGGAGTATGAAGGGAGCGTACATGCGTGGGAGGTAAGCTAGCCTGAATGGCCTGAATGGACAAGAAGATGTCAGACTGGGTGTCACTGATGGCTTTGCACTGAACGCCTAAAGCCTGCAACTCCTATTCGTGACTCCCCAGGACTGCTACCTGCTTGGCGATTGCCGCCCGCACAGAATCCGCTGAGTCCATCTTGCACTTGGCCTGTACCAAAACATGGCTCAAGTGCTGGAAAAGGTGCGGAGACAGTTAACTTTACGCAATCTTTGTGCCAAAGCACAAAGTATCAACTTGGCACGGGAACGTGACACAATGTTTAGGATGACACAAAATACAATTTTGCTCAGCATGAGATTCATGCCTAGGGACTCTAGCATGGAGGTCTAAGGGCAAGCACAAAGCATGGCTGGATACAAGAGTGGTTGCGCTGAGGAGAGAGGACAAACAAGGGGTTGGCGTATTCCAGAACTCCTCCAGGTGTACATGGATTTAACAGAGGGGTATGGCTTATGTTGCAGGTGGAGTCAGAGGGTGCATTGAGAAGAGAAGGTGAAGGTCCGAGTGAGATGAGTAGAGATATGACCTGAGTTCCAAGGCAGGGTGGCACCACTGTGTGCAGTGGTGGCAAGAGGGCAGGCAGGTGTATGGTTGGAATCCTTCCCAGGAGATGGAGCATGAACAGTAGTGAGTGTAGTCAGTAGTGAGTATAGCTCAGTGTCCGAGGGGCGAGCTGACCAGAGAACTGTAACACGAGAAAACGAGGTAAATACAAAGGTTTGGGATAATAACATGAAGCATGAAAGCCTGTTACTAACGCGGGTAAGTTGATGAACTGGTGGTGAAGAGACTGCAGCGGTGGTCTGAGATATATATATATATATATAT